GAAAAATATGCCCGGCCACGGTGGGATTCGAACCTACGACCTTTGGAATACTAGCCCAATGCTCTTCCAACTGAGCTACGGTCGTAAGTCGTAAGGTCGTAAGTTCGAATCCCACCGTGGCCGGGCATATTTTTCAAGCTCGCCCGGTGTGGATATGCACTCAGAGTAACATCACAAACATATTATTCATCTGAGTACACAACAGCAGCACAGAAAAAATTCATATTACAAGAACACATTGGTATTGAAGGAACTAGATACTGTTCCGAAATATCACTTACTCGAACCGTCCTGACCGCGTAGCTCAGTTGGAAGAGCATTGGGCTAGTATTCCAAATGTCGTAGGTTCGAATCCCACCGTGGCCGGGCATATTTTTCAAGCTCGCCCGGTGTGGATATGCACTCAGAGTAACATCACAAACATATTATTCACCTGAGTACACAACACCAGCACAGAGAAAATTCATATTACAAGAACACATTGGTATTGAAGGAACTAGATACTGTTCCGAAATATCACTTACTCGAACCGTCCTGACCGCGTAGCTCAGTTGGAAGAGCATTGGGCCAGTATTCCAAAGGTCGTAGGTTCGAATCCTACCGTGGCCGGGCATATTTTTCAAGCTCGCCCGGTGTGGATATGCACTCAGAGTAACATCACAATCATATTATTCACCTGAGTACACAACACCAGCACAGAAAAATTCATATTACAAGAACACATTGGTATTGAAGGAACTAGATACTGTTCCGAAATATCACTTACTCGAACCGTCCTGACCGCGTAGCTCAGCTGGAAGAGCATTGGGCTAGTATTCCAAAGGTCGTAGGTTCGAATCCCACCGTGACCGGGCATATTTTTCAAGCTCGCCCGGTGTGGATATGCACTCAGAGTAACATCGCAAACATATTATTCACCTGAGTACACAACACCAACACAGAAAAAAAATTCATATTACAAGAACACATTGGTATTGAAGGAACTAGATACTGTTCCGAAATATCACTTACTCGAACCGTCCTGACCGCGTAGCTCAGTTGGAAGAGCATTGGGCTAGTATTCCAAAGGTCGTAGGTTCGAATCCCACCGTGGCCGGGCATATTTTTCAAGCTCGCCCGGTGTGGATATGCACTCAGAGTAACATCACAAACATATTATTCACCTGAGTACACAACACCAGCACAGAAAAAATTTATATTACAAGAACACATTGGTATTGAAGGAACTAGATACTGTTCCGAAATATCACTTACTCGAACCGTCCTGACCGCGTAGCTCAGTTGGAAGAGCATTGGGCTAGTATTCCAAAGGTCGTAGGTTCGAATCCCACCGTGACCGGGCATATTTTTCAAGCTCGCCCGGTGTGGATATGCACTCAAAGTAACATCACAAACATATTATTCACCTGAGTACACAACACCAGCACAGAAAAAATTAATGAAAAAAATTGTTGTGAAATTAGTGAAGATAAAATAGCATTTTGTGAAAAAACTGCGGGTCTACGGAGTGGGAACTTTTCAGATTTGAACTCAGCGTGTTCGAATGTGTTAGTTCCCGCAAAAATATTTCAGATCTAAGACATGCTTAATGAAAGTGAACGATATCTGGTCACAACACACGGACTATGTGGGGGAGGGGGGCTATATTAGATGGAATACCCCAGTGTGCTGCAACAACTTTTAAAATTTGTACATATGTTTTTAAGGCACAATATGTGATGGAGTTTGATATGATGATCAGCACAACCTCAAGGTCTTGACTGAATGAACAACTTATCTGATATACTCCTAGTTCCAATACTTTGCTGTATATTATCACCAGCTCACATGTCTGTTGGATCACTTTGAATGATCAACATTGGAGTGTGCACAATAAAGTGTCTGTATTAGGGAGGAGTCTATAAGGACTGAAGTAAAAGGCACACTTTTGGATATTTGAATCATAGCAACTACATATACTGTTGAACGGCTACTGTAGGTTTCAAATAAGTTTGAACAATGAGCAACTGAAAATAAAGATTTATTTAATTTAATTTGAAACACGTAAGAATTACAACATATTATATGACAGTAATATGTATATGATTATAGGTATATTTATTAGTATTACTAGCTGATATTTATGACCATCCTGGGACAACATCTATTTTTCCCAAGATATTTTACTTGCATGACAGTAATAAATTTAATAGTAACAGAGAAGTGTGATGGATATTTGCAAGTAATTATCATTAGAAATACAAATATTTAGCTGTAATTTTGACCATTGTAAATGTATTATTAAAGAAACAATATACAGTCATAATACTAGACTGGTTAAATAACTATTGAATAGATGGATCATGAAGATTACTATCATAGCTCTGTAACAGGGAAAGATGAACAAAATCATCTTGATGAACAAAATCATATAGCATTAGAAAACTGTAATGCCATCAACTAATTCCCATTTCAAAAAATTTTCATGTTGGTCACTGTGAAATATAATCTTGAGGCCATCTTAATAATTGTTTACTATCTGATTGACAACATGATTATATATATTTCCATGGAATCCAAGTTGGCTTTTTCCCAAGTTCATTTAAAATGTGGTTCACCTGTTAAGATAATAAAATGTTTATTAGTTGTTTTGTAACAGAACAGTACCTGCTTTAAAGAAAATATAGGAAAGCGAAAATCGAAATAACAGTTGTACTGTATATGGAAAACAGAATAAAATATTTCTAAGCATTTCTACTGTTATCATAATTTTATTAACTGATGAGATAATATGAAGTCTTTCTGTATGTTAAAAACTGTGATTTCTGAAGAAGTCTTTCTGCATGTGTGACATGAAGTCTTTCTGTATGTGTGAAACTGTGTCAGAAAATGTGATTTCCGAGACTCTGAGAAAATGTGAAAGCAACGTGTGAAAATAAATCGAATAAATTCAGTATAAATGTACAGTACATACCTTGATATACATGCAGAACAATCAGTCAATATCATTTCATATTCCACGCAACACTATCAGTGTTTATTCAGTCGCATTTGAAGTATTGGAAGCAAACAATCCCGAATTCATCTACTACTATCGCGCTAATTAATATGTTACATCGCTGGTTTTAAGGAACAGATGGAAATGGCTCAACCATTAGGACCATTCTGTTTGACTATCGTAAAGCATTCGACTTAATCGACCACGGTATACTGATTGATAAACTAAGTAGATTGGAATTACCTCCAAGTGTTATAAACTGGATAATTGCTTTTCTCACCGATAGATTTCAAAGAGTTAAATTAGCTGATGATTGTGTTTTGGGGGATCAGTCCCTGCAGGAGTACCGCAGGGAACTAAGCTAGGCCCCTGGCTGTTTGCTCTTATGATAAATGATTTAATCATTGATGATGCACATACCTGGAAATACGTAGACGATACGACAGCGTCCGAAATTGTCAGTAAGGGGGTACTAGTGATGCCCAAAATATAGTTGATCAAGTGCTTACGTGGTCTAGTAATAATAGAGTAGGCTACAATTAAATCAAGACAAGTGTAAGGAATTGAGAATATCGTTCGCGAATCAACCAGCAATCTTTGATCCATTAACCATTAATGGGAAAGAATTGGAAGTTGTTAAAACAGTAAAGCTGCTGGGACTCACTGTCAAGGACAACCTAACTTGGAATTCTTATGTGGACGAGGTTATAAAGAAAGTGAATAAAAGATTGTACTTTTTAGTGCAATTAAAACGGGCGAGAGTTCCACCACAAGATTTAGCGCTGTTCTATACGTCGTGTGTCAGGTCAGTTGTGGATTACGCGATTCCTGCCTTTCACCATTGTCTCCCCCAATATCTGAAGCGTGAGTTAGTGCGTCTCGAGAAAAGAGCTATATCAATTATTATGCCGGAAGTTGACTATCTAACAGGTTTGGAACGATTAGATATTAAGCCCATGAAGGATCATCATGAATATTTATGTGACAAACTTTTTAAGTCTATTATTCTTAATCCTGATCACAAACTTAATAGCTTATTACCAGCATTGACCAGCAAGATACAACACGAATTATAACCTGAGAAATCAAAGGAACTTCAACCCCCCACAAATCATGACTAATAGAACAATGAATTCCTTTATCTTCTCTACTCTCTCCTTCGCAGAGGCTTTAGTTTTCTTACGATTTAATATTATGAGATACATTTCACTACACTTTACATGACGGATCTTGGAACACGAGCGTAACCGCTGGGCGAAGGAGCGCAGGCGGCAAAGAGAAAGGCGAATGAAGGCGCGAAGCCTCTGCACGATTTGCATCGCAAAGTGGGACAAAGTGGGACAAGTGTAAACATCGAAACAAAAGGTGATTTTTAAGCTAAACAAGAAACGTCTTTTTGAAAATTAAATCATTACTTAATGCATGATTGATTGACCTCATTGACTAGTGCTTGCATGTTTGTGGATGGTCAAAAGTAATATTTTTTAACATTTATTAAATACACAAAGCAAACAATCGTATATTTTACTCACCGCTTGGCCAAACATTCTGTATTTCGTATCGAGAAAAACTGGAATATTTCTTGAACTCTTCGGAATTCGCCACCAGTCAAAGAAGTAAAATACTCCTTGTATTCAAGGGCTTTCGAGTAGAAAATTTCTTTTGAATACGGCCTGTAGAAATATTTATTATTTTTCAAAATATCGGGTTTTTACTCGCACAGTTGCACGCGCCTGTCACACGCTGATGTTCGGGAATTAGTTCACAATCAGACCAGGAATGGAAATACCATAATAAAAGATGAAGTTTTCCGGATACAAGCTCAAAAATAACACTCGAAGTAGTGTTTTGAATTCGCTTTCGAACAAGAGTAATACAAAGAGGATGCGTCCCAAGGAGCCGAAGTTATGTTCGCCGAAAGGTATGCCTAGTTTATATTTTTATCAAGTGTAAACATTGCGTGATTTGATATTAATATACAAAATCCCGCTTGACTTTCAAAGGGCATAAATCGCTATAGTGTTGAAATTTCACTAAAACTATCGATAGAAACTAGGAGATATTTTTGTACTGAATCGAACGGTGGTATTTTCATCTACATAGCGTATATTGAACCAAAGATACGAACCTCCAAATAAATCAGGTCGAAACCGACTGAAGGTCGCGTTTGTTTATAAATATTGCTGAAGTTGAAATAGTTCAATTGTATTTTCAGTCTTGATAATAAATTTAATAATGGTTCTGTATGCTATACATACTCATTTTTTCTGTTATGCGGTTTTGGACACATTTCTAAAAATACAAATGTCAAATATAAATTTAAATAAAAGTTTCTTCGCTTGCAACCAAAACCTGTCCGCTAAATACGTTGTTTCCGTGCATTGTTTTATACTGTAGATGGAGACCTTGTCTAGAAAAAATGCAGATGTTTTCTCGCAAACTGAACATAACACGTTCTTATTTCGTAGAGCTAGTAAATAATCTCTTTCTCAGCTTGTTGCAGTATTGTAAAGAGATATTTTCTCAGTCATTTTGACTTGAATTTTGCGTTTGATAATTATACGTCCCTCCCGGTTTACCGCCATCTTGGGTGTGGCATCGTGCAGAGGCTTCGCGCCTTCATAGCCAATTAAAGCCTCTGCGGAGGAGAGAGTCTTCTCTATGTGTAGCGCATGAAACTTGATTTTATTATTGGATGTTCGTATACAATTATTAGTGTAAATTAGACTTTTAAACTTTTTATCGTAATTACTATTATAATAGTCATACAACTGTTAGAGTAAAATACACATACAATTATTAAAGTAAATTAACCTTTTAAACTTTTTACTTGTCCAATTAGCAAATTGTAAATTACGCAATTCAGCTGTAAAGCTGCGATGTAATTATTTTAATAAATCCAAATCCAAAACAATGTCACAAATATGAGCGCCATACTCCGACAAATTGATACAATATGACGATCAATGTTGCATAGTTTTGTGTACATGTGTGTTCATAGCTTATATCTGAAGTATTTTTCGTAATTAAAATTTGTTAATAAATCTTTGAGAATAATTACATAAACAATCAACAAAACATGTATATTTTTAAGCAAGAAAATCGTAAGCGCCAGCGCTAATTGTAATCAGCAACATAACGTTGTCGTTACTGCGCATGCGATAAATCTCCAAGAATCTTGGAGATTTCATCCTATTTTACCAGGGTCTTCCTCAGCTCGCGCGCCACCACAAGGAAGACCCTGGGGACGAAGTTGGACCATTGTCGGATCGCGGATTTTGCTTCGAATTTGTGCGGATCGTCAGATTTGTATACCCCTATTCACCTCCCCCCCCTTGCAAGAGAACATCCGGTTTCACTGTAAACGAAATACATGCAGGCAATGTTTGGTATCAACAAGAAACTCAAAGACCAGGCCTTTAAGTAGTACCGGATTGATAAGGACATTGATGTTCAAAACGGATTGCAATGCATCTTTGCACACCAGTACTCCCTTTAATCTTACACATGTTGTTGCATATCGCGCCACATTGCGCGACAATTTGAATTGAAAAGTATATACGTGTCGCATATTCTGAAGAAGATACATTTGAATTCACAGAAGCAAAAAATTTCTTTGTCAACTCACCATTGTTTAAACAATGACGCGACTTATAATAATGACGTCATTATTTTCACTTCGTATCATCGTATTACTAAAAAAATATACTTTGCCTAGTTTTTTTAAAAATAACACGCCTCTCAAATGATTACGTCATCACTTTCACTTCCTAACCTACACGAATTCGTATCACGAAATATCACCAAAAATAAAATCGTATCATAAAAATAAAATAGTTACTAAAGTGGACGGGTATTTTATAATCTAACCACTATAAACATTGTAAATATGGTTATTGTCACCTTTTAATAGATGTTTCTAAGACTGGTTTTAACGTACATACTTATAAAACCATGACCATGGCCCATGGGCAACTTTAATATCTAGTTTGAAAGGATATATATTTTTCTGAAGTTATTTAGTATCTAAATACGTAAAATTCATAAAAAAATATGTTGTCCAA